TACAAGCTTGATAAAAATCATCATTGAAGAAGAAAATTTCAAATGGCATTTAGAGGCTTTTGCATCTGAACTCTTCAAATAAACCCACTTTATAACGTTTACCATCTTCCACCTTTCATTTCAGGCTCTTCAAAGATAAAGATAATTTTCAAGAGCTCAGGTTGACAAAGACCAGGAAGTCCCTTAAACACCCTTTCTAGGGCAGAAAACACTCAGCGGTTGCTATGACACCGCAATATCAAACACGAGGCAAGCGTGAGAGTAATAATTTGATTAATTCATTCTTTGGAGTCTTATGTAAATAAAGCCGTGACTTTCTGTTTACATAATCCCAGGGCTGTTAATGCATCTTTGGGGGACTCGAGCTGTCGGCAATACCCTTTCTGATTAATTGAGTTCGAAATCCATTTGGGATAGGCTTTCCCTGACAGCCGGGTTATCCTAGCAATGCATCACGTTCAGAAGCGAGCGGGTAAAGAGTAGAAGGAGAGATGCCTACAATTGTTTATTCGACTGCAGATTGGATTTCAAGTATTAATACAATCCAATGATTCCTAGCACCTGCATCGATCTTGTTTGTGTGTTGTTCGGCCAGCATGTGTTTGGATGCTGAATTGAAGGTTTGTAATGATGTCTACAGCTCACATCGATCTTGATTCTTGAACGGGTGTCTGCGAGGGTCTGTCACCATCGGTTTATCTCTCCTTCCTAAAGGCCCTCAACAAATGATTTAGAGTAATAGACATAATCCAATAGCGCCGAGAGCATTAGAGACGTTCAACATGACACTCCTGCAGAAGTGCAGCTAAGTAAACTCGGAGAGGTATCCCAGACTCTATTAGATTAGATGTTATTGGATTCCAAGAATATATGCCGTACCTGTATGGACTTCTATCTCCCGCCGTCTACCATTGTGAACAAGAAAACCTGAATGAGACATTTTTAGTGGTGTTTCAGAGGGCTTATTTGTAGGATTTGTGATTTGAAGACAGCACTAATATCTACGGAAGCCCTGAACCGCAACCTAAAAAAAAAAAGTCAGTAAAAAAAAAAAAAAAAAATCTAGCATTTCGAGATTAAAGTCGAAATGTTTCGAGATTAAAGTCGAAATGTTTCGAGATTAAAGTCGAAACATTGTGCATTCATAACAGTGCGCGTCCACTGGCTCAGAGCGCGCGCGTGAAGTCGAACTGCCATGGATAAACACAAAATAGTAGCTTTTTACTTTTATCTGAACTACTTATCTTACTTTATCGTTATAAAATATAATGCGCCGGAATAGACTTTAGCCTATAGGAAAACCAACACGGAAAACACTTTTCAGACTGGATGGAGAAATCCAGCTTTATGAATGAATGAATGAATGAATGAATGAATAGGGCATTTATATAGCGCTTTCATATATGCCTACACTCAAAGTGCTTTACAATCATATCAGAGAATCTCTCCTCAACCATAAGTGGTTATTAAATCTTAGGAAATCACAGGATCCGGCCAAATGATTGGATACAGAATGATGCACTTAAAATGTATCCAGAGCGAATTTACGTTGAAGAGGGAGACCAAACAGTTACTGTTGTGTTCTCGACCCAGATAGTGTTGACTAGACGAGCACGAAAACACCTCAGAAACACTGCCACTAGCACGTGTGACGTGTGTAGAATTTTGTTGAAAGCCCAGATAAAAGTAAAAAGCTACTATTTTGGGTTTATCCATGGCAGTTCGACTTCACACACACACACACACACACACACACACACACACACACGTGGACGCGCACTGTTATGAATGCACAATGTTTCGACTTTAATCTCGAAACATTTCGACTTTAATCTCGAAACATTTCGACTTTAATCTCGAAACATTCCGACTTTAATCTCGAAACATTTCGACTTTAATCTCGAAACATTTCGACTTTAATCTCGAAACATTTCGACTTTAATCTCGAAATGCTAGATTTTTTTTTTTTTACAGATTTTTTTTTTTTTTACAGATTTTTTTTTTTTTTTTTTAGGTTGCGGTTCAGGGCTTCCGTAAATATCACATATTGCGATAACTCAAATCGAGCGGCTTGTTGTTTGACCCCAAAATTTTGAACAGTATTGCACATTGAAGGAAAGAACTGAATATCGCAGAAACGTGAGTGATATTTAGGGATGCACGATATACAGTATATACCAGCATATCGGTATCGGCCGATATATGTTAATTTCTAATGTTATCGTAATCGGCCTGGTATGAAAATGTGGCCGATATATTAAAGCCGATAAATAATGTATTAATCCCTTCAACTGAGACACTTGTTGAGCACTGTTTATGTTTTTGAATTTCTTGAAATATGATTGAAATCTCTTCGAAAAATTAAAAATACGCTTCGGTACAACATGTGCACCGCAAATCTGTCATATCGGCTAGAACATCATTATAATTGTGCGCTTGGGACATGGATTTAATTGTGAGACTTTTGTTTTTGTAATCAGGCTCTCAAAATTAAGATAAAGATAAAAATTTGGACTTTAGTTTATCGGCAGATATATCGGTTATCGGCTTTCAAATATAAAGAATTATCGGTTATCGGTATCGGCCAAAATTTTCATATCGGTGCATCCCTCGTGATATTGTAAGACTACTTGTTAAAACAGTTAAAGGGGAACTGGAACACAAGACTTGAGATATCCTAGGCCACACTAAAGGTTTTTTACTGCTACTTCAGACGGTTCCTATCTGTTGTTGCAAATCTTTCATATTTGAAAGACAAGGTTACTGGAGTGGAAATCAGATTTGGTTCAAGAGTCCTGGGTAACTGTGTTCATATATCACCCTGTTTGAGCAATGTTAGCCATCACTGCAAACTTCACAACAATCAAACTGTAACCTTGAAGAAAGAGACTCATTTTCTTGTTTGTTTTTCTCATTGAATAACTATCTTTCCCTTCCTGTGGAAGAAGAAAACAAATCTATAACACAGTCCAATCAAATAGGGATGTGCCAAAGTCATAATGGTCAAGTGAGAGGGAAAGGCGAGTTGTTTTTAAGGAAACCTCATATAATTAGGTCGATTCATGTCAAATACACACCATTATGACACATTTTTGTGTTCAATAACAGCTTGATGAAGAGCAACAGAAAAAAACAGGACTGGTCTCAAGAGTTGTTTTTAACCTCCAAATGGTCTTGGTTTCCTGTTTACGCTTATGGGCTTCGCGGTCTATACGACCCCAACAATTGATGGAGTAATTGTACAAAAAATCTATATTTTTAATCATACAAATAATATAGCATTTGTTTTGTTTACTTCTCATCTATTCATTAATGCTGTGTTTTTTGGGATATAAAGTACTTTTGTATCCATATACCACACAATTCCTCAACTACACCATTAGGTTGCATATGAAATATTCTTTTTTTATGATACATTGCATTTATGCTCTAGTACTAGGCCTTCATTTATGTGTAAAAATGTTCAGAATTATGCCAGATGTTTTTTTTTTTTTTTTCACATGAAGAAAACATATTTTGTTTTTTTTTTATCACAGTTCCCATTCAATGTGGGGTCATATTTACCCCCGAAGACCAGAAGTGTATACATTCTTTTTTTACATACCTTCAGAACAACCAAATCAAGCCCAGTTTTTTTTTTTTTGTGTGTGTGTGTGTGTGTGTATAGATAGATAATGCATGAAAAGTCACAAAATCGTATTCCACTGAGATGAAGGGAACCTTTTTTTTATTAAGTAAAAGTCGATTGGGGTCGTATAGACCCCATGACCCGATTGAGGGTTAAAACAATTTTCTCTCTATTGTTGTGGGCAATAGACCTGCCCTTTAACACCATCTTGGTCCACACAACAAACAGAGAACTACACTTTATAACAAAACAGCTGACAATAACAATAACAGTAATTGTTCTTGAAATTTCTTGTTGAAAGTAGATGTCTATCTATCTATGTATCGATCTATCTATGTATCAATCTATCTATGTATCTATCTATCTATCTATCTATGTATCAATCTATCTATGTATCTATCTATCTATCTATGTATCTATCTATCTATCTATCTATCGATCTATCTATCTTCTATCGATCTATCTATGTTCTATCTATCTATGTTCTATCTATCTATGTTCTATCTATCTATCTTCTATCTATCTATCTATCTATCTATCTATCTATCTATCTATCATCCATCCATCCATCCATCCATCCATCCATCCATCCATCCATCTATATATGTGAAATATATATATATATACACAGTATATATAAATTAATAATATAAAAGATGACATTTTATATAATTACTAGTTAAGCTTAAGTTAATATCTGAGAAAAAGTATAACAAATAAATATATACATGCACAAGAATGTGACACACTAGTCTTTTTTCAATATATAAGAAAATATACAGATATACAATGGTCAAAACAGATGATCTCAAAAAGCAGAGCACCAAACCCTCCTATATTTCCACGAATCATTGCACTAAAAAAGGCAGTTTGACACACACAGGCCTCGGAGGGAAGCTGGAAGTGTTTGTCAGGGTGATGCTGCTGAATCACAGGGCACACAGTGTCTCTCTTTCTATTAGTTAGCTGAGGTATGGTGAACTCCAGGGAGGCAGATAGATGACGCAGTTTCCCTCCGATCATTCTCCCTGCATGCGGTCGCTCCAGGAACACACGAGATTAAGAGATGCAATTAACTGTCAAAGACACACAAGTCACGGGCTAAGACAACACTCATGAGATTGCTCCATAAATTTCACCGCAAACAAGCCGAGCAGGTTAGCGAGGGAGAGGACGCTAATTCGCCGTATGAAATATTCATAGAGCCGGTGGATGAAGGATGGTGCAGCTGTGCCCTTTTGTGGTTACATGACTGATTATTTTCACATTTGCGTCAGATCATTTAAGCACAGATCTAATCTACTAACACAATTTCATGCAAGATACAGCGGCCGAAAGCAACTAATAACATCTCTACCGTTTGTGTTTGCAGGAACCATGGTGAGCAAGGACGCTGGCAAATGCATGCTCACCAACTCTGAGTCGGACTCGGAGGCAACCGCGGCCTCCATGGCCCTGGAGGTCAAAGGACCGTCAGACGACAGCCGACATGTGCGCAAGCGCAACAAGGCCCTTCAGGTGCGCTTCAAGGACATCTGCGAGGCCCAGAACGAACAAGCCGCTGCGGCCCGAGGAGGGAAGCCTCTCTACAAGGTGGCGTACCGCAAGTACATGACCGTCCCAGCGCGCCGATCGATTCCCAACGTCACCAAAAGCACTGGAGTGCAAACCTCTCCGGACCTTAGGAAGCGTTACCAGACTTTTCCATTTGAGCGGAAGAAAGGACACACGGTCAAGCACGCCGCTGCGGTGGAGAGCTGTAAGGACCAGGACGATGGGTTTGTCATTGACGTGAAAAGGGCGAAAGCTACCGTGGCGAGCAGCGAGTGTGCTCCCTCTCATAATCTGAGGAAAACCAAAGCGTTAATGCACACCAGCAAGTGCGTCGCGACCATAGAGCAACATCCGCAAGCCAGCGAGTGTCTGGAGAGAACGGACGGGCCGTGCTCGGACGCTCTGGTTCTTCCCTGTCCGACTGATGGGACCGTAGCGGGAGCGGACCACTCGGACTATCAGATGTGTAGCGTCAGAAGTAAACACAGTAAGGGCTTCCGGAGAGACTCCGAAACTCTTGAGCGCTCAGGCAAGCTGCAGTTGCTGAACTCTGGGGAGAGCGCTGGGAATATTCTCCAGGATCCCTCCTCCAAAGTGACGGGACCCATCGCGTGGAACTCCCTCACGCAGGTCGAGTGCTTGGAGAGTCCAACCGAGCGTAGCAAACGCAAGGCGGCACTGCAGCTCAACGGCCTGCAGTCTCAGACGCTCCCGAGGGCCAGTTGCACCACGCAGGTCCAGTGCCACGTGGGTACGCTGTCCGCTCGACCGCTGCGGGCCATGGAGGAGGCGGCGCCCGTGACTTCGGTCTCCTCCACGGCCGTTCCCATGCCGGCACCTCCGGGAGCGGGAACTCTACGGACGGATAATGAGGCGTGCAAGCAGATAGTGCCCGTCAATCAGGATGGGGATGTTAAAGCGCAGCTCCAAGCCATGGAAAACATGATCAGCTCCAGTCAGGAAACCATTAAAGTGCTGCTGGGTGTCATTCAGGAGCTGGAAAAAGGAGAAGCTCATAGAGAAGGGTAAGACGCTGTACATTAACCAGCATGCAACTAGTAACCGCAGAATTGCACCAAGCAGGAATGGATTTCCATACACCAACAAGCAATAATGCACATTGTTCAGAACAAGAAACACACACAATAACATTGCGTCCATTGCATTGTTTGGTTCTCAAACTGATTGCTACAGTAAGTCTAATTGGAATGGATAAGTTCATCTTTGGTTGCTTAGCAAGTCCACACGCATTTACCCAAACATCCACAACTCATGCAAAATACAGTGTGTTGGAAGTGCTAACAAGCTGCAATGCATATTGTTCAGAAAGATGGATCACTTTGCCTGTTTCAATACATTTATGCATGGGATACAAGAAACTATTTCCACACTTTACATCAGTCCCAAGTATTGTTTGCTTCTCAGACTGACTGCTATAGTAGGTCTAATTAGGATGGACACGAGCATCTTTGGGTGGTTAAGAGCTGCACTCTTTTTCATATTGACTTTTATCATCTTGGACTGGGAAATTTGCTGGAGGCCCTCTAAATACTGTATAGCACTAATGATGCAAAGCACCTTTTACTTTCAAGAGTACCTATTTAATATAACAACTGAATGTGCTCCATTTCAGGGCAGATCATTTCACAGTATATTTGGACAAAAGGGGAAATTTTGTTTCCCAGGATAATTTACATGCATAACAACTGAATATTTACATTCAGAGCCAATCAATGACAAACCATCTCATTCCCACAGCATGGCATCATGCAAATCTCCCTAAACTACCACTTTAAAATATCCCAACACCACATTTATCTTTTTCCCACCCAACTAGGCATAACATACTGATTATTTCAGCATTTACGCATTAAGGGAGCCCCTTATGAGGCGAGTTTGCATGCAATTTAGAGAAACACTATGATATTACAAGACTAAATCCAATGTTTGAGACTGGTTGGGTTAAGTGAGCCAAACTATAGTTTGCACAAGAAGCAGAATCAATCTCCCGCATATCCACACATATATTTCCCTATAGATGCTTTGGGATGTGAGGACTGGAACCCTGCCAGGATAGTGATTATAAAGGGGATTAATTACCCGCAAGATTTCATGTCTACTTTATATAGTTGAAGCACAATTAAGGTCACAGAAAGAGGATTTTATAAAACAACTGATCCAGAGGATGACATCATCATGAGGATGTTTGAGATCCGCTCACAAACTGAGAATCATGGGACAATGGACCAAAGCCTGAACAAAAAAACGTATTTTGCATTATATATATACGTATATATGCATTATCCAATGCATTAATAATTTCCGCGAGAATTTATAAAGCCTCAGTGTATAAGCACTTATAAAAATGTCTAATGGTACACTTCACATAAACAAATAAAGCTCAGCCTAGGTTTCAGAGAGGATATCATCTAACATAACCTCAGCAAATGCCTCCAAGGTTTCTTATGGATAATACTTTTGCAGATATTACACTTAAAGTAATATTTTAATGTATTTTCATGGCAGAGTTTTCAATTCCCCAGCTCAGGTTTGAGAAAGTGCATTTTCCTGCATTCAATGCAGAAACAGTTAATGCTTGTGTGGATACGCAACATTAGTCTCATTCCACACACTCAGAAATGTCATTCTCATGACAAAAGACAGGCGTAGTGTGCCTGGAGGGCGTAGGTGAATGTATTCATAATTACATCTGTTACATTACCGCTGGCGTGATGTAGTACTATCTTTTCAATGTGTTCAAAAAGCATGCTGCATAAACACACTTGCAAAGAGGTGTTTGACTCAAAAAGTTGCTACAGGATCAAAGGGAATGCTGGCGGTTGTGTAGCTTAACTGTGTCAGTTCAAATGTAGAGTAAAAAGCGAGGTGTGTATTACTTAATGATCTAAACAAATATTAAGTGAATCATGGAAACAAACAAAAATAATATTTCCTTAAAACATGCAATAAATTGAACGATATGTTCACACCATGCCGTAATCACCGTAACTTTGAGATGTCAACATGCGACGTTCTACTTGGAGCCGTACAGGTGCTGCGGTCAGGTGGTACAAGTATTTCAGGTGGTACAAGCATTTCACTCGCCAACCTCACTCAGTCTCATGGACTCGGATGTGCGTCAGTGCTTATCGAGGTCGAAATGTCCTGTTCAAACAGTAACTTACAGTAGCGTCTTGAATACTGTTTGAATGAACGTGTAACTGAAGTGAAGCCCGTATTCTCGTACCAGTAACCATGACGGCAGTGACTGAATTAGTTTCAAAGATGGCAGCGTCCATACAACTAAAAAGCCTCATCACTTCTGAGTCCAATTGAGCCATGAGTTCATTACTCACATCTTCATTAACCAACAAAAGCTTTTATATCTGGGTAGAGAAAGGAGCAGTGACTGAGTGACTGACTGAGTGAGTGACTGAGAGACTGAGTGAGTGACTGAGTGAGTGACTGAGAGAGTGAGTGACTGAGAGACTGAGTGAGTGAGACTGAGTGAGTGAGTGACTGAGTGAGTGACTGAGAGAGTGAGTGACTGACTGAGTGAGTGACTGAGAGAGTGAGTGAGTGAGTGAGTGAGTGACTGACTGAGTGAGTGACTGACTTAGTGAATGAGTGAGTGAGTGACTGACTGACTTACTGACCGAGTGACTTAGTGAGTGACTGACTTAGTGAATGAGTGAGTGACTGACTGACTGACTGATTGAGTGACTGACTGACTGACCGAGTGAGTGAGTGACTGACTGACTGACTGAGTGACTGAGTGAGTGACTGAGTGAGTGAGTGACTGAGTGAGTGACTGACTGACTGAGTGAGTGAGTGACTGACTGACTGACCGAGTGAGTGACTTACTGACTGACTGACTGAGTGACTAAGTGAGTGACTAAGTGAGTGAGTGACTGAGTGAGTGAGTGACTGAAAAATTGACTGACTGAGTGAATGAGTGAGTGAGTGAGTGAAAAACTGACTGACTGAGTGAGTGAGTGACTGAGTGAGTGAGTGAGTGACTGAGTGAGTGATTGACTGACTGACTGACCGAGTGAGTGAATTACTGACTGACTGACTGACTGAGTGAGTGAGTGACTAAGTGAGTGAGTGACTGAGTGAGTGACTGAAAAATTGACTGACTGAGTGAATGAGTGAGTGAGTGAGTGAGTGAAAAACTGACTGACAGAGTGAGTGAGTGACTGAGTGAGTGAGTGAGTGACTGAGTGAGTGATTGACTGACTGACTGACCGAGTGAGTGAATTACTGACTGACTGACTGACTGAGTGAGTGAGTGAGTGACTAAGTGAGTGAGTGACTGAGTGAGTGACTGAAAAATTGACTGACTGAGTGAATGAGTGAGTGAGTGACTGAAAAACTGACTGACTGAGTGAGTGAGTGAATGAGTGAGTTAGTGAGTGAGTGACTGAGTGAGTGACTGAGTGAGTATTTATCTGCCCACTGATAGCCATACATAAAATACCTAGTGTTGCATGCAACATCTCATCTGGATGACATGTCTATATATCATCATCATAACCAGACCTAACTGAAATGAGAGGTGCATACTGTATAAGAATAATTGCTATTTTCTGAATTAAAAAAAATCGCTGCAAGCAGCTCATCCATACTGAAAATTAGTTATAACAAATTTGTAACCTAAATCTTTTTAAATAATTATTTCTGACAGTAACGGTTTCTCTCTGCATCTATTTAAATAGCAATCAATGCTATCTGCTCAAATATGGAGCCTAATAATGGAGTGTCCTTGGTGGGAAAATTCAACTTGTCCCAAAGATCTCTTTCTTCCTTTCTCGCTCTCTCTCTCTTTCTTTCTGTGTGTGTATACAACATAATTGACTTCCTTTTTAGATTCCAACACATTGCCTCGCTCCAGAGGGTTCGGTCTGATCACCACTGGCATCCAGTGCCTTGTGACAAACATTATTCTGCCCTCCTGTCCAACCCCAGGCTCTCAGCAGCAGTGCTATACATCACTGTCCCCATTAGGCACGGAAACTAGCCTCAGATAAACCCCACGCATCGCCAAACAGCACTTCACATGCTCTCATTAGGGGCACAATGGCCGTCGGTGTCCCGCTCTTTTCACGATGAGCCCCGCAGTTTGACCTTTTAAGGAAGCGGGTGCAGAGCTCAGGGGTCTCTGTTAATGGCCGAGTGGGAGAGGAGCTACTGCCCAAAACTAGGCAGTCTCAGACCAAAAACAGAGTCAGACTCTCTCTGAGTCATAGAGGACCAGTGCATTTCACAACACAGTCCATCTGAAGTCAAGGTTCCTTTTCTGAACGATCAAGCGGTCTAAAATGAGTCAGGATCAGGATAGAATGCAAACTCCAGTCCTGTTCACCTCTGACAAGAAAGCAATCTAGCCTAACCTCCAGTAAAACAAATTGCATATCACTCAATACTGATTTTCATTTTTTTTTTAAACTGACAGTGTCAAGTGTCTGAGAACCAATATGGAGAAGCATTTTTTATTTTTTGTTCCATTTTTGCTTTTTGACAATAATACTTTAATTTCTTATCACTGACCCCTGAAGGTGAACAGCCGGCTAAATAAAACTAGTACTATGCCAGATAATAATAAAGTCAAATTATTATAAATTCAATTCATGTTTAATATGAATTATATATATATATATATATATTCATATATAACTCAATGGATTACACAAAATAATGCATTACCAAATTAAATGCATTACAATCTTTAAAAAAAATTATATGGGGTAAATACATTAACAAAATATATATATAATATTTTAAATAAAGCATAATAAAAAGGTAAAAAAAAAATAGACAAAATAATAACCAAGGAATATTCTGGGTTAAAGTTAAACATAACAAAAGCATTAAAAAACAAACAAAAGAGTTAAAGAGTGGTTGAACTAGCAGAACTTACCACAGAACAAACTCTGACTCAAACACATCAGAATAAAACACTGGCCAGAATGTTCCAGTAATGAGAGAGAGAGTATAGGTGAAGAAACAAATTGACAGAACGAGA